AAAATTCTGGTTGTTATTAAGATAATTGCATCGTTTGGTGGGGATTTGATTTTTAATTGAGAGAAAGATTGAGTGTAAGAATGAATGAGTGTGTGAGTGAGTGAGCGAGTGAGTGAGCGAGTGAGTGAGTTAGAACTAAACTAAGCTGTCCAGGGCTAAACTGAAGGAATGAGAAGAATCAAGCAAGTCAAACGAATGAATGGAGAAATAAAATTGGAGGAATGAAAATAGCTGAAAAAGAACGACTGAGTGAACAAAAAGAATGAAAGAAAGAACGAACATCAGATAGATTTCAAGCCAAAGAATGAAAAAATGAATAAAATTATATAAGAGTGAAGGATTGAACAATTGGACAAGTATCTACATGTGTTTAGATGGGACAAAAAAAGACTAAAATGATTGAATACACGAACGAACACTATAGGAACAACTAAACAAAAGACGGTAGAGAATGTAAGAATAAAAGAAAAAAAGAATGAAAGAGACTGAATGAACAAATGAATGAATGAATGAATGAATGTACAAATGAATAAATGGATGAACAAATGGATTGAGTAACAAATGAACAAACGAGTGTATGTAAGATATGCGAAAGAACGAACACAAAAAACGAAAGAAGAACAAACGTCGTTTGAATGTGCGAATGAATGAAGGAACAAAATGAATGGGAATGAATGAATGAATGAATGAATGAATGAATGAATGAATGAATGAATGAATGAATGAATGAATGAATGAATAAACGGACAAAACAACAAAAGAATAAAATACTGAGAGAGTGAATGTACAAATAAATGATTGTTGAAATTTATCCATATATCTATCAACTTCTAAATGTAAGAATGGATTTGTGTGACAACAATAACAGCAACAACAACAGCAACAATAATAAATAATAATAAATAATAATAATAAAATCCCGACACACACGTACAAACGTGAGGCCCTTCAATACGAAAAAAATTTTTTTTAACAGTATAAAAAAAGATGTGCCTGATAAAAATAATAATAATTAACAACAATAACAATAATAAATAATAATAAATAATAATAACAACAATGACATCAACAATAACATTAACAATAACAACGACAAAATCAATATTCTTAACATCATCTACAACATTTCCACTGACATTAATAAAAAGGAACTACTACTACTACTACTATTACTACTACTACTACTACTACTACTAACTACTACTACTACTACTACTACTACTACTACTACTACTACTACTACTATTACTACTATTACTACAACTGCTACTACTACAACTACTGTTACTACTGTAAATATATATACCTATAAAAAACATGGAATTTTTACAAATTTCATGCTTACAATAACTAAAATATAACAACAATAACATTAATAATAATAACAACAACAACAAACACAATAGCAATAACAACAAAAGAAATACAATTATTGCCATTAATACAACTTGAATTTCTGCTGCTGCTTCTACTACCACGACTTCTGAAGCACCAACAATAACAACAATTACAACAATTACAACAATTAAAGCATTATTATTAATAATAATAACAATAATAATGACAATAATAACAGTAATAATGACACAATGGCCAAATTTAGCTTGCAGTCATGTTTTTAATAACCAACAAATTGATTTCAATTTCAACTATACTCCTAATAACTTTGCGATTAATATTGCACTACTGTTGCAGCTACTACTTCTACTACTACTGCTGCTGCTACTACTACTACTACTTTTTAAAACTACTATTACTATTACCATTGCTACCACTACTACTACAACTACTAGTTTTTTTAAATTCAACGAGTAAAAATTAATAACGATTTCTCTTTAGAAAAATAATCCAGAAAATAGTAATTATCAGTATAATAATATAAATAATAATTATGATAAAATCATTGTTAATAATAATAATTATTATTATAATAATAATTATAATGATAATTATAATAATAATCATAATGACAATTATAATGATAGTGAAGGCCAATAATTCTTTTTTTTACACGTTCTCTATGGTCGCTATGGTTTCTTCAGGTCGAATTCTGATGAATGAATGAATGAAAATATGAATGAATGAATGAATGAATGAATGAATGAATTCAGGCAGAGTAACTAAATGAATGAATTCATTCAAATTGCAGAAAAAAAAACATTTCGACTACTCCTACCACTGCTGCTGCTACTACTACTACCACCACTATTACCACCACTACTACTACCGCTACTACTACTACAACAAATAATAATAATATTATTAATTATAATTATCATCATTATATTATTATATAATCATAAGAATATTATTACGGCAGTTACTTATTTTTATTGAAGCACTTGTTAAAGCATGGCACAAACAATAGGACGGTCCCGGAAAGCATGATGATCAGACCGGCGCATGTAAACGTGAGAATGTAATTGCCATTCAGGTCGAATAGGTAACCTGTTGGCATAATTATAGTTATAATTATGGTTATAATTATGGTTATAATTAAAGTAATTTTATAATGTAACAAACATTGATTGATTGATTGTTATAAATAACATAATTATGGTCATAATTACTATTACTTTTGTCATTATCATTGATTTCAAATTGACAACCACGAAAATTTGATTGATTCTTTACATACATAATAAATTTTATTTCAATTATACAATCATTTTCGGTATAGCCGTCATTAAATAAATTTAAATTTGGCGGCCCTAATCTTCCTCCTAACCTCCACAAGGGGGGCCCAACAAAATGGCGGTACCCTCGGCCAGTGATGTGATACCGAAAGCATTCGATAGACTTTCCATCCCTACATACTCGACGATAATAGCGGTGCAGAGGGCATAGTTGGAGCTGATGAAAACCCCAAAGGTGATAGCATACAGGATGAAGTGTGTATAAGTCGTGCCGAATGCTACCAACACAGTTGCTGCCCCGGCCACGACGGTGGTGAAGTTGTAGATGAACAAGTTGTTGAAGAGCTCCAAGTCGGCCAGCCATCCAATAAACATCTGGGTATGAACATTTTTTCAAAGATATTTTTTCCAAAAAACCACCTTCAAATTTATTCACGATAGTTTCACAACAGCAGACAGATAAAAATAATACAAATAAGTAACCTGTCCAAAGCTGTTGGCAATTCCGTAGGTTGAAAGGACCCAGGAAGCTTTCTGACTACTGACGCCACACTGCTGGGTCAACGCGATGATGTTCATGAGTGGTGTGTCGAACGCAAAGTAATAAAACACCGACTGAATACAAAACAACGTGAAGACCGTATTTTTCAGGATCGATAAGTCGAAAGCCGTCTGTACAAGACCCATCTTTCTACCGCTTAAAGGTGCCGCACCGTAATTACCGTTTTCAGAGATTGTGTGAATACTTTGTAGTACCTTCATCTGGATCATGTTGACTCGCTTCGAACCGACCGTGTTCACAGAGCGTTTAGTCAGGAGACTTGCTCGCTGCTGGTTGGTAACTATCGAGGTTTTGAAACGATCAGCAGCTGGTTTCAAGACCCCATCTTGCTGTCTAGAACGTATGGAATTATTCACACTGTTTTCCAAGTTGACCGCCCGCGATTCGATTATCGGTATGGAGGAAAATTTGAGATTTGTCGGACGAGTCTGATCTGTCGAGTTTGTTGGGCTGTTCGGATTGTTCCTGTTGAGGTTGATGTTAAACTGATTGTATGGAGAATCTTGGAGGATCTGATGCAACGATTTTGATTTCGTTATGTCACTGTTGGTAGTTGCCATATTAGGGTTGTGCTTACTTTTATTGATGTTCACATCACCTCTTTCATCTTTGCTATGATCTATTTCCCTTATTTGAATCGTAGATAAATCGTACTTGCCCATCACAGTTTGAATGTTAGATTTATCGATTTTAAAACTAACTCGTCTGAAAACTTCACCGTTTAAATTGTTAATGTCAACACTATCGTAATTATTATTGTTATCATTATCGTTGTTACTAGATAACTTTGCTTCGCCTGACTCTCCACTAATAGCTTTTATTTCCTTCTTTTCCTCAGGGCTCTCAATGATGGCAGCTGTTGTACCCTTGATGATGGTTACATTATCGTTGACGAGTTTCATGGTTCTGTAGTAATTCTCCTCCACGCCAAAGCTGTCAGGAAGTCTGAAGAGGGCCCCGCAAACGACCAAGTGTAGAAATGAGGCCGCCAAAATTTGGAAAGCACCCCGCCAGGTATACGTTCTGATCAGGTAGTCCGTCATGGGCGGGTAAATTATCGTCCCCAGTCCCGATCCGCCAATGGCGATGCCTGAATTGTAAGATGTTTGATGCTTCATAGCTGTTGTTGTGTTGTGAAATACTAAGAAAGATCTCAAATTGAAAAACTAACTTGCTGCGAGAGACATCCTCTCAACAAAATAAAAGGGAACGATGACCAGGGACGGAATGACCACCAACGACAGACCGAACCCAGATATGAGGCCAAACGTGATGACCAACAGTGCGATGCTGTTCATGAAGGAGCCCAAAAACCATCCTAAGCAGGCTATAAAACCGCCAATTATAGCCGCACGTCTGCAGCCAAATTTGTTGGTTATAATACTACTCACAGGACCGAAGATGAAGGGAATAGCCTGGAAAACAGAGCCCACCCAGGCTGCACTGGCCCTCGTCACGTTGAATTCTTCCACAAGTACGTTGTAGATGATGCCGAAAGATACGAAGCACCCCTCTATTATCAAGTTGGCCACAAACGAACCGAATAGTACCATGTAACCGTATCTGTCGAAATATGGTTTCACGTTATACCCCGAATCTAGCTCTAGAACGTGACTTTTTTTCTTTTTAAAAACTCTAAAAACGTGTATGAAGGACATTCTTTCATTTGAAACCGAGTCCATCGTTCGGTCTACTTTCTTCGCGAATACCATGTTGCAGAGGTTGATTTTAGAGCTTTCCCATTTTATAAAATCATTTTTTAAAGAGTTTTCTACGAATTAATGATTTACCTTATGTTTTTGTTTATTCCACAATCGTTTGTCTTGTAATCAACAACTGTGAATCCATTTAACGTCGCTTTTTCACATATTTTTCAAATAAAATTTTTCTTTTACGTTACGCAACAATTAAAATGCAAGTTTACTTTTAGTTTTATTTAAATTTTAAATCTCCGATCAAGTTTCACTTTCTTTTGGACTTTAATTTTTCAGTCTGTGTTTTATCATTTTTGAATTAAAATTAATTTAAATTAATAAAAAATAATTTGAAATTTTTAAATTGCGAGTCTGTTTAATTGATCGTCGTACATTACAATCAAAAATTCGCAGTCTTCTCACGGAAGAAACCTGCAATTTAGAATTCAAGTTTCGTAGGTAAGGTAAGTAAGGTATACTCAACCAATCAATACTGACTCTGTCTATGTCTAGTCTAGAGTCTAAGTCTATACTATTGTCTGCTAGGTAGGTGGGTAGATAAAAAAAGGTTTTTGTTTTTCTGTAAATTTGTCATCTGTTGTTTTAAAAATTAAAACTAAATACACAATTAAATTATATTTGAATATATTTAAATTTATATATAATATAATTTGTAAAATTCACTAATTTCTTAGTTAAAATAATAATAACTTTTTATTCAAATTTATAAGTAATGGTACAAGTCTCCAACATCAAAGTTGTCTTGTTAGATATTGAAGGAACCACCACACCACTATCATTCGTCAAGGTAAATTCTTCTTGTCTTACTTACTAAATTTTTGTACCCCAATGTTATTAATTACGTCATAACATTTTAATATTATGATTTAAAATTTTATAATCAAATAATATTAATTTATTTGCAATTTTTCATCTATCAAATCATCTATTTTTATACCCATTCATCCATTAGTATCATATAACAACAATAATATATTTATTATTAATTTATAAATAAATAATTGTTAATTATTATAATAATAATTGTTATTAACATTATCAAGGATAAGTTATTTGGCTATGTGAGGAAGAACCTGAGAATTCATTTGGAAGAAAATTTTTCCAATGACGAGGTGCAAGAAGACATTAAGGCCATAATCAGTGAAGTTAGTGTTAGAGTTTATTATTATTATTATTATTATTATTAATTATTATGTTATTTTGATAAATATTACTATTATTATGTAACCAGTCAATCGAAATTAACTCAAATAAATTGAAAATTGTAAAATTGGTTCTCTATATTTAAAAAAAATATTTTCTATTTTAAACAGACTTGCTCTGCAGATGGTGCAACCATCACCGCTACTTCAACTACCACTACTACAGCCACAGCGACTACAGCGACTACTGCTACTGCTACTACCACTACCTCTAACACAACTAACAAGAGTACATTAGTAGAAAATGTAATTGAGATAGTAACAAAGTTGATGGATGAAGATAGAAAATCTACATCATTGAAACAACTGCAAGGTCATATGTTTAGACAGGCATTTCAGTCGAAAGCTGTTGTCGGAGAGTACGTTTTTATTATTATTATTATTATTATTATTATTATTATAATTAATAATAATAATAATATTTTTTTAACACAAAGGATATACCCAGATGTACTGCCGTTCATACAGTCAGTAATCAGCAAAGGATCAAAAGTTGCAATCTACTCGTCTGGTAGTATTTTCGCCCAGAAATTACTCTTTGGTAATACTGTGAACGGTGACCTCAGTGAACTCATTACCGATTACTTCGATACCACTACTGGCCCCAAAGTTCAAAGTTCAAGTTATGTGAAGATTTCGCAACACTTGAACGTAACACCATCTGAAATTCTCTTTCTCACTGATCTAGTGCAAGGTCTTTATTGTCGTAATCATTATTATTGTTATTATCGTTTATTATTGTTAATATTTATAATAATTATTATTATCATAATTTTCAGAAGCGGTAGCCGCTAGGGAAGCGACTTTGCAAGCAGTGTTGGTGGCGAGAGATGACAGCCGGTCTGTTCATGACGATGAGTTATTACCACGTGTTAATGAATTCACCGTAATAAAATCCTTCGACAAAATTAAGATTATGACGTCATAACATTATCATTATTATTATAATTATGCTATAATTATGACGTAATTATATTATTATTATTATTATTGGGAAATAATAATTACACCTCGTTATATTATTGTCATGTGGCGATTTTACTTTTCCAATAAATTTATTATAAATGTGCCTTTTTTTTGTTTGTTCATATGTTCATATGTAGCAAGCGCACACCGCACGGCACTAACACACACACACACACACACACACACACATTCGACACACACACACACAAACAAACACACACATTTGTGTGACAGACAGATAAGCGTTCGGAACTAGAACAAAAGAGAGATCTTTAAGCTGCAATAAAATCCATTTATTGATATTTTAATAAAAAAATATAATCTCTTTCTTAATAAATAAAAGAAATTACAAATTGATAAAAAAAAATCGATCAGAAAATAAACTAGATCGATATATGGGCAGAATTCATGAAGCAAAGAACTTGGTAATACGGACCTGTATAGTAAACATTGTTTTCAATGCTGGTGGTGATGATGATTGTGATGATGATGATTGTGATGATGGTGACGATTGTGATGACGATGATAATGATGATGATTGAGATGACGATGATGATGATTAAGTTGTTAATGGTAATGATGGAATGTTGGTGATATGAGGATGACAATGATAATGAAAATTTTATTATCTGAAGTATTTTGTACTAATACTACTGCTACTTCTACTACTACAACTACAACAACTACTACAACTACTACTACTACTATTATTACTACTACTACAACTACTACTACTATTAATAATAATAATAACGGGTGAGATAGCGATACATAAATTATGATAATTATGATGATGGTGACGACGGCAACGACGAGAATGATTAGGATGACGAAGTATGGTTTGAATTTTTAATAAGTATTCGAAAGAATGTTTGTCTACTTGGTACAGTGCTGGCTATCGCAGGAATGGCTGTAGTATTAGTTAAGGTAGTAGTAGTTTTGTTGTCATTATTGACGATGATGATGACGACGGTGCTGATGATGATGTGCGATAGAGATGATGATGTTTATGATGTTGATATTGATGTTATTGTTGTGGCAGATGACAGAGCCTTGTGCATCACATACAAACACCATTTACAGCACCATTATTGAAGAGCAGCTTGTTTTAATGGACACATATACACACGAACACACACACGTAAACACGCACACGATAATTCTATATACAACTATACATGTATAACTTTATATAACCCTATATAACTCGATAAAACTCTATATAACCACACATAACTCATTATAACTCTATACAACTTTATATAATTTATATATATATACATATATCACCTATAATTTTAAACAGCATATCAATGATATCATTGTCATCTTTAAGGTTGTTATTATTGTATGTGTGTTTGTGTGTGCGTGTGTGTGCGTGCGAGCGAATTCATTTGCATATAATTCGTTCGTAAGTAAACAACGCCATCAGGTAGGTATGAAAGTAGCCAGCTGACTATGTTTAATAATAACAACAACAATATCAATAACAGCAACAACAACAATAATAATAATAACAACAACAACAATAATAATAATAAAAGTTTTATTGTCAACGAATGAACTGCTCATTCGATTCACATCCCATCAATTTAATTTAACATTGTTGGGCTTACTTTTATATGTATGCTGTGATGATGGTCGGACCTATGAATATGTATATATATATATGTGTGTGTGTGTGTGTGTGTGTACGTGTGTGTGTGTATATACATGTTTGCATGTATATATATATATAATGTGTATAATGTATAATGTATATAATGTACAATTAAGTTTGATTTTTCTTTAATAAACATTACACATGAGTTGTGTCGCAATTGTTAATATAATTAAGTAGGAATAATAAAATTAATTATAATTAAATTATTTATTGTAGGTAATGACAATTATGAAATGGAGGAATATATATACAAAAGATTGATGGATGGATGGGCGGATAGATGGACTGAATGAAACGGTTGAATGAATGAACGAACGAATGAATGAATATAATAATTATACTTAACTATAATTAATTAAAGATAATTTGTAATATTATTATGACTAAATAATTTATCTCGATAATAATTATAGTTAAATAATTATAATATGGCTTTGGTTGTAAATTTGAAAACTGTGGAATATTTGAAAGGTAAATACGATCGGATTGTTAGGATAACATTTAGAGGTTAGTTTGCTTGTATATTTGTATGTTTGTGTTGTTTGTGTGTGTGTTGTTTGTATGTTTGTGTTGTTTGTATGTGTGTTGTTTGTATGTTTGTACAATTATTTGTATGATTTATATCCTAACAGGTAAAACATTACAGTCGAACGTTGTTAACAGTGCAAAGAGAGTAGCATATTTTGGTCAGGTATGTATGTGTGTGTCTCTGTATATGTGTGTGTGTGTATGTGTGTTTGTATGTGTGCGTGTGTGTCTGTGTGTTTGTATGTGTGTCTGTGTGTTTGGATGTGTGTTTGTATGTGTGCGTATGTGTCTGTGTGTTTGTCTGTGTGTTTGTATGTGAGTTTGTATGAGTGTGTGTGTGTATGTTTGTTTGTGTGTGTTTGTATGTGTATGTATGTATATGTGCATGTATGTTTGTTTGTGTGTGTTTGTATGTATGTGTGTATGCATGTGTGTGTTTGTGGGTATGTGTTTATTTGTTTGTGTGTATAAGTGTATGTTTAGGTTAATTTTCAGTTATTCAGTATATTCTTTTTACATCTATGTGCTTGTTTTTGTGTACAAAAGTGTGAATGAACGAACGAATAGATGAATGAATGGATGGATGGATGGATGAATGAGTGAAGGAATTAATAATTAATTAATCGACTGATTAATCTAATTAATTAATTATGTTAATTAAAGTCAATATATCTATTGATTGATTGTTTAGTCGTTTGAATGGCCGATAGCACGTCCAATAGAGGCTACAGAGAGCTTGGAGTTGTTGGTATTCAACTATAGCAAGTACCTCAGTGATAAGTGAGTTCTCTCTGATTACCTATAAAATATAGAATAATTTTTAAAATTTGCACATTTATGAACAAGTCTCAATATAAATTATTTCCTAAGTACTTATCAGATAGGTTAATTGAGCCTAAACGCCTCGGTTTACGATTGTCTTCTTGTTCTCACTTCTTAACTCGTGTTAAACACCCTTTTGCTAAATCTGCATTTGTTTATTTTGGTACTTTTCTCTGGAACTCTCTACCTCCTTCTCTGACTACTTCTCCATCACTTGGGAAGTTCAGAGCGGATCTCAAGACCCATCTGTTTGCAGAATTCATTGAGGAGCGCTGTTGAACATCGCGGAAATAGCGCTTTATAAGTTTATTGATTGATTGATAGATTATTCATTTTTTGAAAATAATCATTAAATCAACCAACCAATCAATCATCCAGCCAATCAATCAATCAACCAATCAATCAATCAACTAATCAATCAACCAATCAATCAATCAACCAACCAACCGACCAATCAACAGACTGGTTGGCAGTTACGTGTTGATATTGCAACAGCTGATCCAAGATGGCAGCCTATCAATTTCGGAAAGTCTGGTGGATAAGAATAACAAAGTTATTTCTGTAAGTTGATTATAATGACCACCACCACCACAACCACCACCATCATCATCATCATTACTACCATCATCATCATCATCGTCATCATCATCATCGTCATCATCATCAGGTGACAATAACATTCGAAGTAACTTACGTAAGCCCGGATGGTCAAGTTGGCAATTGGGCCAATAGGATGAGTCAGCAGTTTGACTATCCAATCAGAATGCAGGGTCAAGATGAGGAGGCTCTCGTGGCCGAGGAAAGGGCCCTGTATGTATATCTGGGTATCTGCCCCTTCTCTCTCTCTCTCTCTCTCTCTCTCTCTCTCTCTCTTTCTCTCTCTCTCTTCTTCCATTTTGCGTGTGTGTATGTGTAAATCTATTTCTTTGTCTGTCGGTGCATTTATCTCGCTCGTTTGTTGGTTGTTTTTATATTTGACCATCGATCTATGTTATCATTATCATCACCGTCATCATCACCATTACCACCATCATCACCGTCGTCATCATCACCACCATTATCATGATGACTGTCAGCCTACAAGCAGTAACCGGTCAGCAAGCGGAAGAAGATGAGAATGACGTCACGAGCAAGTCGGACCGTCTTGATGATGATGACGATGAAGATGTCGGCTCGGGATTGTTCATAATGGAGAACGCGGCTTACGACAAAAAGTGATGATGATGATGATATGATGATGATGGTGCTGGTGATTATGATGATGATTATTATTTTTAATATTATTGTTCTTATTATTATTATTCTTGTTCAGATCAAAAACAGCGTATGTCGATCTGCAATTAGATAGACCGAAAGATTTCGAGGTAAGCCATCATCATCATCGTCATCATCATCATCATCATCACCCTCATCATCATCGTCGTCATCATCATCATCATCATCACCCTCATCATCATCGTCGTCATTATTCTTATTATTACCATCAACATCATCGCCAACAACAACAACAACATACTTTATCACCATAGTTAAAACCACTAAAACAACCATCACAATCGCCATTCCAGGTTATGATAACAATTATAGAGGCCCAGCAGCTGTCCGGCCTTGACATTGACCCCGTCATAAAGGTCGAGGTCGGCGAAGAGTCAAAGTACACGACCATCCGTCTGTCGAACAACAGCCCCTACTACAATGAGTACTTCGTCTTCAACTTCAACGAC